GGATTATGCAACCATTAATGCTCAAGGTTCTTGCGAAGATTTGTAGCTCGGGTTGTGGATGAGGTTATTGGCTTGCTCGCTGAGCTGGCTGGTTATCGTACAGACATTTTGTCACCGTGCTTGGTAACATCATCAGTGCAGCCTGCAATGAAGCAAAGTTGATCTACTTTGCTTGGTATTTATATGATCCAGTCTGTTAAGTTGGGAACATTTCTCAGTGACTGCCTCCAGCTCAGACTCACCCCACGAGGATTCCAACTGAAGTTTCATCCTTCATATTTTGAATCCTCCCAGGAACACAGATATCTCTGTGATGTTCAACGTTCCACGGACAGCTGCTCTCGCTGCATCCTGAGGTCCACACACAGTGCCATGCAGCATCACATGCATACTCTCAACCTTTCTCTCCAAAAGCATCCCAACACACTAGCTCAGGGTTGCACCACTCCGCAGTTCCACTTCATCTTCCGGCTTATTCGGCATGCTAACAAGAAACATTTTCTTTTCATTTCAGGCATCAAGGCCCACAAGATGCAACAACTCAATGACACCCGTGGCCCTCTGGAACCTTCCTCTCCTCCCCTTCCCTCTGACTCCATCCCCTCTCCCAACCCCACCTCCTGTCGGGTGTTCACCATCCCTCCTAACCTTCTGCTCAGCGCTGCTGAATGTTCTATACTCAGCAAAGGCCTCAGCTTTATTCCTCTGCATCCCCACCTTAATGGATTTCAGGCACGACGTGAAGTTGAACTCTTCTTCCCCTGTCTTCGCCTCTGTGCGCATTTCTTTGGACAAGAGTCCTCTCCCCGTCCCACAGACCCCTTCGATTAGTTCCAATACTGTCCTTCCGCCTGGACCCCTCCCTCTGGCCTTTTACCTGCACTGGATTTGTTCACTGAGAACTGTCAGCGTGATATTGGTCACCTCAATTTCTCTGTACCCACTCACCAAATCCAACCTATCTCCCTCTGAACTGACTGCACTTCATGCACTTAGATCTAACCCTGACTTTGTTATTAAGCCTTTCGATAAGGTTGGTGCTGTTGTAGTCTGACGTACTGACCTCTGCATTGCAGAGGCTGAGTGCCAGCTCTCAGACATCTCCTCCTATCTTCCCCTGGACCATGATCCCAATATGATGCATTAGGCTACTACAGTAACTGATGTAATTTCATCTGGTAACCCCCTCCCCATCCCCGTTTCCAAGCTGATAGTCCCCCAGCCAAGCACAGCTCGCTTCTACCTTCTTCCGAAAATCCACAAACAGGACTATCCAGGCAGACCTATTGTTTCAGCCTGCTCCTGCCCCACAGAACTCATCTCTTCCTACCTTCTCTCAATCTTCTCTCCCCTGGTCCAATCCCTGCCCACGTACATCCGTGATTCCTCTGAAGTTTTCCACCGGTTTCAAAACATCCAGTTTGCTGGTTCCGGCCACCTCTTTACCACGGACGTGTAATCTCTTTACACGTCCATTCCCCACCAGGCGGGTCTTAGGGCTGTCCGCTTCTTCCTGGAACAAAGACCTGAACCGCCCCTACCCACCACCATCCTCCTCCGCTTGGCTGAACTCGTCCTCACCCTCAACAACTACTCTTTTAACTCCTGTCATAAGAGCGGTGGCCATGGGTACCCGCATGGGCCCCAGTTATGCTTGTCTCTTTGTAGGGTACGTGGAACATTCCTTGTTTCAGTCCTATTCTGGCCCCCGCCCACAGCTCTTTCTCCGATATATCAATGATATCATCGGTGCTGCTTCCCTCTCTCATCTGGAATTGGAAAAGTTCATTGAATTCGCTTTCAATTTCCACCCTGCCCTCACTTTCACCTGGTCTATCTCTGACTCCTCCTTTCCATTCCTCGACATCTCTGTTTCCATTTCTGGGGACAGACTGGTCACTAATATCCACTATAAACCGACTGACTCCCACAATTACCTGGACTATACATCCTCACACCCTGTTTCCTGTAAAGACTCCATCTCATTCTCTCTGTTCATCCGCCTCCATCAAAGTTGAGGCCAACTTCAACAAGGAGGCCCCTCCAAACTGTCCACCTTCTTCCTCAACTGGGGATTCCCCAGCACCGTTGTTGACAGGGTCCTTAACTGGGTCCAACCCATCTCCTGCTCTTCCGCCCTCACCCTTTCTCTTCCCTCCCACAACAGCGATAGTGTTCCCCTTGTGCTTACTTACCATCCCACCAGCATCCACATCCAGAAGATCATCAGATGCCATTTCCGCCATCTTCAGCGAGCTGCCACCACTAGACACATACTCCCCTCCCGCTCCTTGTCCGCCTTCCGTAGAGACTGTTCCCTCCGGGACACTCTGGTCCACTCTTCATTTGCCCCCAACGCCCCCACAGCCCCACGGCACCTTCCCATGCAACCGGTGAATGTACAACACCTGCCCATTTACCTCCTCCCTCCCCAGTATCCAAGGGCCCAAACATACCTTCCAGGTGAAGCAGCACTTCACCTGCACTTCCCAGTATCTAGTCTACCTCATTCGCTGCTCACAATGTAGTCTCCTCTACATTGTGGAAATGAAGTGTAGACCAGGTGACCGCTTTGCAGAACATCTACGTTCTGCTCACAAAAAATACCCTGAGCTACCTATTACCTGCCACCTTAACACACCACCCTGTTCCCTGGTCAACATCTCTGTCTCTGGTTTGCTGCAGTGTTCCGGCAAAGCTCAATCCAAGCTGGAAGAACAACACCTCATTTTCCCCTTGGGGACCCTGCAGCCCTCTGGACTCAATATCAATAATTTTAGGGCCTAAACTCCTCCATGTCCTAGCCCCTTACCCCACATATCAGGCCTTGTTATCATACATAGCCTGCTATTACACACTACCTATTGTTAGTCACTAACAGCCCCCATTAACAACTATTCACCCTTCTAGCCAGATCATTATCAACTCCTTTGTCTATCTTCCCTCTCCTATCGTTTACTCTCTACTCCATCCACCTCCCTATTTTCTGCATATAAATCGACGTTTTCCCAGCTAGCATCAGTACTGAGGAAGGGTCATCAGACCTGAAACGTTAACTCTGATTTTTTTTCCTCACAGATGCTTCCAGACCTGCTGAGCTTCCAGCAACTTCTGTTTTTGTTCCTGTTAAGTTGGGTTGTGTCATTTCCAGTTCTGTTCTACATGGGTTTGTATATGGGGTGTAATTCCACATTTTGTTGATTGCATTAGGGTTGAAAACCAGGCCTCTAGGAATTCCCGTGCATGTCTATGGTTCGCTTGAGCTAAGATAGTCATGTTGCCCCAGTTAAACAGATGGCCTTCATTGTCCAAGTGCACTGAAATGAGGGAAAGTTTGTCGTGCTGTTTTGCTGCTAGCTGGTGTTCATGTATCCTGTTGGCTAGTTTCCTTCTGGTCTGGCCAATGTAATGCTTGTTGCAGTCATTGCAAGGTATTTTGTAAACTACGTTGGTTCTGCATGTCATGGGTATGGGGTCTTTGGTCCTTGTGAGTGTTTGTTGTAGTGTGGCTGTGGGTTTGTGTGCTACCATGATTCCTAGTGGTCGCAGGAATCTCGTCAGTTCTGATATGTTCTTGATATAAGGTAGTGTGGCCAGTATATTAGGGCATACTGTGTCCTCTTGGCATTGGCTATCTAGTACGCACCTGCGGATGAAGTTGTTGGCATATCTGTTGTTAGCCAAGACCTTGTGCAGGTGCTCTTCCTTCTTCCTGCGTAGTTCTGGTGTATGACTACACAACGAACTTTCCCTCATTTCAGTGCACTCGGACAATGAAGACCATCAATTTAACTTGGACAACATGACCATCTTAGCTCAAGCCAACCACAGGCACGCACAGGAATTCCTAGAGGCCTGGTTTTCAACCCGTAATGCAATCAACAAAATGTGAAATTAGACCCCATATACAAACCCATGCAGAACAGAACCAGAAATGACATAACCCAATTTAACAGACCAGATCATATAAGTATCAAGCAGAGGAGAACAAGATCGCTTCATCAGAGGCCGCACTGATGATGTTACCTAGCATGGTGACAAAATGTCTGTATGATAACCAGCCAGCTCAACAAGCAAGCCAACAACTTCAACCATTAATGCTCCATGCCACTCCATTGCTCGTTGTAGGATTTTGTATGCATACATTAGGTGCATCATTTTACAATTTAAATTTCATAAAGTAGTTTTGATTTGTTCTTTCACCGGGTGTGGGCATCGCTGGGAAGACCAACACTTGTTGCCTATCACTAATTGACCTTGAACTGAGTGGCTTGCTCGGCCACTTCAGGGAGCAGTTAAGAGTTGGTCACATTGCTATGGGTCTGGAGTCACATGTAGGCCAGCATGGATAAGGACAGCAGATTTCTTTCCCTAAAGGACACAATTGAACCAGATGGGTTTTTATGATAATCATGTCAACATGAGGGGCATCTAATAGAAACTGATAAAATTCTAACAGGATTAGAGAGGATAAACACAGGAAGGATGTTCCCGGTGACTGGGGAGTCCAGAACTATGGGTCACAGTCTGAGGATATTGGGTAGGCTATTTAGGACTGAGATGAGGAGAAGTTTCTTCACCCATGAAATGGTGAGCCTGTGGAATTCTCTGCCACAACAGGTGGTTGAGGCCAAAATATTGAATAATTTCAACAGACAGATATATTTCTTAGGGCAAAAGAAGTGTGGGGAGAAAGTGGGAACAGTTGGATAATCAGCTATGATCATATTGAATAGCAAAGCAGGCCTAAAAGTTTACTCTCTATGTTTTCATTAGGGTAGCTTTTAATCCCAGATATTCTTTTAATTTCAAACTTCACCGTCTGCCATGGTGGGATTTAAACCCATAACTCCAGAATATCAGCCTGGAGTCTTAGATTGGTAGCCGAGTGGCATTACCATAATGCCACTGCTTTTACCAGGTGACAGTGGAATGTAATGTGGATTCACACACGGTGTAAGGTGTAAAGGTGAGGACTTTATTTCTGTTCTCTCCACCAGAGGCCCCGGTGTTGTTTACAAACAAGGAGAAGCATCCAGAAGAAGTTTACGCCAATGAAAATGGACAGGCTGTGCTTGCAGCCATCGTCTCCAAGGATCCAGCCAATGTCACCTGGTATCGCCACAAAGAGCAGGTGACCAAGGGAGAAAAGTATGAGATGAAGAGTGAGTCGCGGGTGCACAGTCTGATCATTAAGAATGTCCTGAAGGAAGATACTGGGTTCTACATCTGCCGCTCCACAGATGATGAGATGATCTTCAATGTGAACATGACCGGTAGGAAAAGGGGAGCACAGAGTAGGAGCACTGAACTGGAGTCAAAGGTGGGAGGGATTTGAATGTGGGTGGTTCTTTGTTGCCAAAATCAGAGATGCGCAGGGTCCCCCTAAAGGAGCTGAACCACACTTTGTAATTGTTGAAATGCTGGAAATCCTCCACAGGTGCATGGAAAGACATACGGAATAAATGATTCAGGTCAATGAAGTTTCCTTAAATTGAAAAAAATGACCCATGCATTTAGGAGCTGAACATTTTCAGGCTGAGCAATCCTCAACAGTGAATCCAGTTGCAAGGTACAACAATGTGGATGCTGCTTATGTTTCAGATTTCCGGCATAGGGACAGGAGGAGGCCATTCAGCCCCTCAGACCTGCTTAACCCCTCTGTTAGCTTGTAATTCCAACATGTTTTTCAAAGTCTCCTCTTAACTGCTTCCTCAGCAATAGATTTCAATATTTTACTAATAACTGATGTCAGTTTAACTGTTCTGTAGCTCGCTATCTTCTTTCTCCCTCCTCCTGACTAACAAGCAGCATGACATTAGTATCCAATCCACACAAACTGTTCTGGAATCAAAGGAATTCTAGAAAATCAATGCAACTGCATCCATTTTTCCACAGCCATCTCTTTTAGAGGTCTTGGATGTAGGGCTTTATCGACTGGGGACTTGCCAGATTTTAATCCCGGTATCATTTCCACTGATTATTTTTCACCAAGTTTACTTACATTTGCATCCTTCAGCTACTCCCTGTGGTAGTGAACTCTGCATTAACACTGTTCTCTGAGTAAAAGTGTTACTTCTGAATTCTCATGTTGAATTTAATAATGGTCATCTCATATTTAGTCCCCAGTTCAGGACTCATTCACAAGTCAAAACATCTTCTCACTATCTATTATATAAAAGCCTTGGTGGGTATGATGTAGGAAATAAAATTGAATCCAGGACAGGTTAAATGTACCTCAAGCCACTTGGTGAAGTGTGAAATACAACACTAATAGTTTTCTTAATAGTTGTCTTCTTTACAGAATGCAGCATTGCATTTGTCTACGTCCTACCTAGTACCCACTGTGTCGCAACAGTCTCTTTTTGTAAAACCCGAAAGAACTGTGGATGCTGTGAATCAGGAACAAAAACAAAGTTGCTGGAAAAGCTCAGCAGGTCTGGCAGCATCTGTGAAGGGAAAAACAGAGTTAA